TCTGTCTGTATGGTGTGTGTGTCTGTCTGTGTTATCATGTCTGTCTGTATGGTGTGTGTGTGTGTGTCTGTCTGTATGGTGTCTGTCTGTATGGTGTGTGTCTGTCTGTGTCATGGTGTCTGTCTGTATGGTGTGTGTGTGTCTGTCATGGTGTCTGTCTGTATGGTGTGTGTGTCTGTCTGTCTGTCCTGGTGTCTGTCTGTCTGTATGGTGTGTGTGTGTCTGTCTGTGTCATGGTGTCTGTCTGTATGGTGTGTGTGTGTGTGTGTGTCTGTCTGTCCGTCATGGGGTGTGTGTGTGTCTGTCTGTCCGTCATGGGGTGTGTGTGTGTCTGTCATCTGTCATTCATGGGGTGTGTGTGTCTGTCCGTCATGGGGTGTGTGTGTCTGTCCGTCATGGGGTGTGTGTGTCTGTCTGTCCATCATGGGATGTGTGTGTGTCTGTCTCATTCATGGTGTGTGTCTGTCTGTCGGTCATGGTGTGTGTGTGTCTATCTGTCCGTCATGGTGTGTGTCTGTCTGTGTCATGGTGTGTGTCTGTCTGTGTCATGGTCTGTCATGGTGTGTGTGTGTGTGTCTGTCATGGGGTGTGTATCTGTCATGGTATATGTGTGTTTCTGTGTCTGTCATGGTGTAAATGTGTGTTTAAAAATAGTGTTTTTGCTCACCTTTTTTTTCCCCATGCAGCGTGCTGGTCTCCCCTCGACTGGCCCTGCCTCTATAGCTGAGATCATCAAGCTTGATGATCTCAGCCAATCCAATGCTTTGCCATAGGATTGGCTGCAAAACGCCACTCCAGTTAGCATCTCCTCATAGAGATGCATTGAATCAATGTATCTCTATGGGGAACGTTCAGCACCTACAGAGTGTGGAGGCCCTGAATGTAGGTGCACTGTCACAGGAAGCACCTCTAGTGACCGTCTGAGTGACTGTCACTAGCAGTGTCACTTTGAAGCAATGTAAACACTGCCTTTTCTATGAAAAGTCAGTGTTTACGTTGAAAAGCCTGTAGCGACATGCTATAGACACCAGTACCACTACATTAAGCTGTGTGTGCGTCTGCTAGTGAGTGAGCTTGCTTGCATGCGTGTGCCTGCTAGTGAGTGAGCTTGTGTTTTTATGTCAATGAGCTGATATATATCAGTAAGATTGTTTGTCTATGAGGCTGTGTATCAATGAGCTTGTGTGTGTCATTGAAATGTCAGTGAAATTGCCTGTGTCTGCATGTGAGTATGCTTACTGTATAATTAAACGTTTTACCCTGAAAGGACCAATATTTTATATTAGAAAAAGCAATATATATATATATATATATATATATATATACATATATATATATTACTCAATCATCTGTCCTGGCAAGACATAGCCTTACATAGTACACGCGACAATATATGGCGCAGTGACTTATGGGGCTGGCACAAATTTTTTTTCCAGGGCTGCTTTGTATCCCCAGTCCGGCCCTGATAATTAGGGTTATATCATGAAAATCAATCAACTTGTAACTTGTGAAAAAGGCAGTATGTGGATGTTACTCTAACAGCACGCAAGGTGGTGGGTAGGCATGTATGTGTCATGACTGGTGTATAGTCGCCATATGGGCAGTCGGACTCCAGGACAACCCTTCCACATACCTAACCCAATAACTCACTGACACAAAGGTATATGGGAAAATTTGTCCACAGCTTTATTTAAAATAAACTTGAATAATAACAATTTATTAATTTCCATATTAATAACCATAGCAATAATAATTTAACAATAAACATGGGTCATTGCCCCCATACTCCGCCCTCGCATCCGAATCCTTCTGTTAATATAACAGGCAATGACCCCCATATAAATAACACATATACATATACATATAACATACGTATCAACATATTCCAACATACCAGCTTAAAGTGCCAAACATAAATTAACCATGGCAGGGGTATACCCGGATACCCCTGCCCCACCAGATTCTGAGCCACCGACAGGACTCGGAACCTACCAACTACCGATGACCACAGTTTTACGTCTCCATGACGTTCATCCTAGGGAACCTATTTCTTCTCCTTCAGCTCCCTATCCCGCCGCTGGAAAAAAACGGGATAACCCAAATCCGTTACCAAATTCAGGGAGGGTGGGCGGGACAAACTCGGCAAGGTAGTAATTAAAAGTGAAGGATATAAAATGGCTGCCTATTTAAATAGCCAAGCCTACTTACCCATAACTCCATACTTCCTTCCCTCCTCCTATGCCCACCTCCTAACCCCTGTCAAGGCCTTTTTCGCTTAGCTGTGCTTTGGCTACATGGGGCTACAGTCTTTGGCTATACAGGTATTATTGGCTTACAACACTTATGTTACACATTCAAACCACTTTATCCTGTAACTTGACGTCTCCATCTTAGCTCCGCCCTTTACACCTGGCAGTCAGTATAGAGAGAGCCACCTCCATATTAGCTCCCTGTCAATCATTGTTATAAGCTCCGCCCTTTACACCTGGCAGTCAGTATAGAGAGAGCCGCCTCCATCTTAGCTCCCTGTCAATCATTGTTATAAGCTCCGCCCTTTACACCTGGCAGTCAGTATAGAGAGCCGCCTCCATCTTAGCTCCCTGTCAATCATTGTTATAAGCTCCGCCCATTACACCTGGCAGTCAGTATAGAGAGAGCCATCTCCATCTTAGCTCCCTGTCAATCATTGTTATAAGCTCCGCCCTTTACACCTGGCAGTCAGTATAGAGAGAGCCGCCTCCATCTTAGCTCCCTGTCAATCATTGTTGTAAGCTCCTCCCTTTACACCTGGCAGTCAGTATAGAGAGAGTCGCCTCCATCTTAGCTCCCTGTCAATCATTGTTGTAAGCTCCTCCCTTTACACCTGGCAGTCAGTATAGAGAGAGCCGTCTCCATCTTAGCTCCCTGTCAGTCATTGTTATAAGCTCCGCCCTTTACACCTGGCAGTCAGTATAGAGAGAGCCGCCTCCATCTTAGCTCCCTGTCAATCATTGTTATAAGCTCCGCCCTTTACACCAGGCAGTCAGTATAGAGAGAGCCGTCTCCATCTTAGCTCCCTGTCAATCATTGTTATAAGCTCTGCCCTTTACACCTGGCAGTCAGTATAGAGAGAGCCACCTCCATCTTAGCTCCCTGTCAATCATTGTTATAAGCTCCGCCCCTTACACCTGGCAGTCAGTATAGAGAGAGCCATCTCCATCTTAGCTCCCTGTCAATCATTGTTATAAGCTCCGCCCCTTACACCTGGCAGTCAGTATAGAGAGAGCCATCTCCATCTTAGCTCCCTGTCAATCATTGTTATAAGCTCCGCCCTTTACACCTGGCAGTCAGTATAGAGAGAGCCGTCTCCATCTTAGCTCCCTGTCAGTCATTGTTATAAGCTCCGCCCTTTACACCTGGCAGTCAGTATAGAGAGAGCCGTCTCCATCTTAGCTCCCTGTCAGTCATGGTTATAAGCTCTGCCCTTTACACCTGGCAGTCAGTATAGAAAGAGCCGCCTCCATCTTAGCTCCCTGTCAATCATTGTTATAAGCTCCGCCCTTTACACCTGGCAGTCAGTATAGAAAGAGCCGCCTCCATCTTAGCTCCCTGTCAATCATTGTTATAAGCTCCGCCCTTTACACCTGGCAGTCAGTATAGAGAGGGCCACCTCCATCTTGGTGCCTTGTCAATCATTGTTATAAGCACCGCCCTTTACACCGGGCAGTCAGTATAGAGAGAGCCACCTCCATCTTAGCTCCCTGTCAATCATTGTTATAAGCTCCGCCCTTTACACCTGGCAGTCAGTATAGAGAGAGCCACCTCCATCTTAGCTCCCTGTCAATCATTGTTATAAGCTCCGCCCTTTACACCCGGCAGTCAGTATAGAGAGAGCCGCCTCCATCTTAGCTCCCTGTCAATCATTGTTATAAGCTCCGCCCTTTACACCTGGCAGTCAGTATAGAGAGAGCCGCCTCCATCTTAGCTCCCTGTCAATCATTGTTATAAGCTCCGCCCTTTACACCTGGCAGTCAGTATAGAGAGAGCCGCCTCCATCTTAGCTCCCTGTCAATCATTGTTATAAGCTCCGCCCTTTACACCTGGCAGTCAGTATAGAGAGAGCCGCCTCCATCTTAGCTCCCTGTCAATCATTGTTATAAGCTCCGCCCTTTACACCTGGCAGTCAGTATAGAGAGAGCCACCTCCATCTTAGCTCCCTGTCAATCATTGTTATAAGCTCCGCCCTTTACACCTGGCAGTCAGTATAGAGAGAGCCGCCTCCATCTTAGCTCCCTGTCAATCATTGTTATAAGCTCCGCCCTTTACACCCGGCAGTCAGTATAGAGAGCAGACAGAGTGGAGGTTCCTATGTCTCCTCTCTATTTGCAATGTTTGCCCACGTTCTCCATAGCAGAGTCCTGCAGCCTCTCAATAAGTAGAAAATAAAGCAAAGTCCATGGGTCCAGCAGGAAGGATGCAAAGTGCAATTTATTTAGGCAGTGGACAAAACAAAATCTATTATTATTATTATTATTATTATTATGTTTACTGCCTAAATAAATCGCACTTTGCCTCCTACCTGTTTAACCTGTGGATTTTGCTTTATATTTGCCAAATCTTTAATAAAAATTAAAAATAAAACTCATTATTAATTCTCATTAATTGTCGATGTTTTATTATTCGATGATGTAAATTCTAGGTCTTATGACAGTTCCTCGTTAGGCTTTCAGTTCCCCAATTTCCTGTTTCTGCCTCGGCTCCCTGGCTTTACAGGACTCGGGGAGATCACAGGCCTGTTTAACCCGTGCAGTATGCGGCATTCTGGTGGTTTACAAGGGAGTTTATAAAGTGGTTTGTAGCTTGAGACTTTGACAACTATAACTGTATCCGTTTAACAACAATATATCTCACAAGTCCATGACGCAGTAAGTGCTAAAAATCACCAGTGACGTGTCTCGCTGTTTTGTTTGGTAAATGTCAAGCTTCTGCCCTTATTATAATAAATACTAAGTAAACGTATCCTCGTTTCATGCAAACTAAGGCAGGTGGCCGTAGACTGACTGAGAGAACTGGAATCTCTTTTTTAATTGTCTGAGCTCACGTTGTCGTAGTCTCTGAGGGTCACTCGAGATTAGCCCTGGTATAGATTTACTGGACTCAGAATTGCTCTACTAATGTACATTTAATGTGTGTTAAACTGTGTGAAAGTTGCAGGACCAGTTTGGGTTGTTCTTAAAGGATACAATAACGGACACACCTGCCTTTATATTCATGAACACTTTAAGTAAACGGCACATTACTTTCGGCAGTGAGCTGTACAGACTCACAGCTCCTTTACACAACATTGGAAAAATCAAGATACATGCATCCCCGATGATCTGGATTTGTTCTCTGGGGGTACCCCTACCAAGCCTCGAAATACTTCATCAAGGATTACCAAGAAAAGCTGGCACAAGTGGAAGAGCTAATAGAACGCTCCAAGTAATGTAAATAACAAAGTGTTTTTTATGTATCTGCTAAGTTTCGGGAGCCATTAGAAAAGGAGACACCTCCAGGACTGCTCCCCATTGATTTCACTGGATAATGGGTCAAAATCCTTCGGCTCCGGACGTGATTATCCAGCATGACAAGGCTGATATTATATGTGAGATCTTTAGCCAAGGAGTGGTTCATGCAGCCCAGAAACTCAAGGAATATCTGGGATTTGAAGATCCTTTTGGCAACCTTCGTCCAACTGCGGATACTTTGATAGAAATCTTCCTAGTGAACTTTATAAACTTCTGTGTTGAAAAAGGCGTAGAGGAAAGGATCGCCACCAGTAAAATGACAAAGCAGCAGTCACTCTTGCTTGGCGTCGATTGGATCTGGACCATCTTTGGTTCTGATAAGCTTGTGAAGCTCCAGATAGCCGTCCAGGCCCTGGAAATGTCGGACTTCGTTATGCATGGGAGAAGGACGCACAGTATGACCAGCTGCACCCATTGTAAAGAAGTACAGCTGACGGACACGTCGTACAAGGACAAGAGTCCGTCCGAGAAGCTGGAAGAGTTCTGCGGGCTGGTGGGGACAGACTGCATGGGGTTATTCATAGTGTTTGGTTTGCCGGGGAAGCCCAAAGACATTCGAGGAGTACTTCTGGACAGCGTGATGAAGGAGAAAAGGAAAGCCTCTGGGGAACAAGCCTTGGAACAATTCATTCTGAGCACAGACACCTTCCTGCCGACCAGGGAGATGTTAGAGACTTGTATGTCAAGGAAGAATGGCTACAAAAACATCGGAAAAGTGTACATCAACTTTTTGTGATTGTGCTGTAATTTCTTCTTACAAAATGGTGCAAAACTGGATCATGTGGAGAAATTAATCTGGACGGCGGAATTTATGGTGGAGACTGGGTATGAAACAGTTTGTGTGTGTCGTACATTAATCTAATGTGAACACACGACGTGAATGGCATATGGCAAAAAGCAGAGGATGTGGGGAATAAAACACCTTACATCGTGTTAGTAAGATTTACAGAAACTCTGTGTATTGAATCCCTGCTCTGCAGGGGGGAAGGTTTGCACGATTTGCCTTTGGAGTTCAGTTAATGACATCATAACCTAAATTATTTAAAGATACTGTATTTTTTAACTTGTTGCCATTATAGATTGTATTATTACCAGTATATTATATACTGCATTATTATATTATATAATCATCGCTAAAGTGAATAAATATGTAAGTGATACGGTTGTCATTGCATCATGGATTCTGTATGGAGTTTAGCTTTAATAAATAAAGGTCAGTATTTTCGGATTATCCTCTGCATATTGCCTCCAGTGCAAGGGTTAAAATCCCATGATGCTTTGCTTGCATTTTTCCCCATTGTATTTCAATAATAAACAGTATTTGAATAATTATTTATAAAGCACCAACATAGTTCGTAGCGTTGTATTATACACCACCAATAGAAATTAACTCCTGGCTGTTATTTTATTAGCCATATAAATAATACATTACCAGCCTTTCTGCCAGTCATTCATATTATTGTATCAGTTTTAATGTTTGATATTTGTATTCATTATTTAAAGATTTCTCTGCAAACAGTGTTTTTGGAGAAATATTCCTGGAGGAGTGTTAAACACTTACATAAACTCTGGGCGGAGATACGGGTTTTATTTAGTAGTTAATCTTTAATTATGGAGTTTATTCACTAAACAAAGACTTGTAAATCTTATGCAGCTATCACCAAAATGGATACAATGTCCAGATTCCTTGTCTGCAGTCCCCAGTTCAGTGAATAAAGCCCCCTGTTTTAGGTACACTGCATATAAGGCGCTTTCATTATCCCTCAGAGCCACTAAAACCACACACATCTGTCACCAAGAGAGGATCGTGCAGTGTCCCCCAATAAATGCAGCACAAGCGAAAGGGTTACTCCAAACACCACAACCACTTCAGTGATGACATGACACCTGACCCTCCATGCCACCCATGTGTTCCCCGGACATCCTTCGAGGGGGAATAATGTCAGCGAAGGTAGATTGGGCTGCAGGGAGAACGTGGCTTTGATGCTTTAATAAAAAGTAAAGTTTAGCTTTATTTTAGTTTTTTTTCACACGTTTGCAGGACGTTCTGACACCGATTCACCAGAATGTCACCATTATTTGGTCAATCAGGTCTGAGAGGTGACTGGCCTGGAAGGTTGGTGTTACAATGTTCTAACATCGACAGATCTCTGAGAATGGCCGTGCTAGAGCGAGGGGTAAAGGGTAACAGACTATACAGCTCCGAATTGTTATGACAAACTATGTAATTACTGCCTTAGGAGCTGTATATGGCTAGGGGAAATACAGATAGATCGAGACCGGTATTCCATAGGAATATTGCAGCCATTATTAAATCCTGCAGGTGAGAATTGGCAATGAGAAAACTAACAAAAGACACGAAAAGGTCACCCGCAGTGTGAAAGGAACAAGAAAGGGTGTAACTGTGAATTAAATAGGAAATGTAACTTGACCTATCCTGTACAAACTGTGTGTGAATGCCCTCAGTACTGAAGACAGAACAATGGATGTCACAAATCACCACCTTAAAGGGACACTCAATATAACCAGTACAGCTAGCCAGGGCAGTTACGTTGCCTACACTGCACCAGCGTCACCCCTAACGTTTAATACCATTTAGGTTTATTTTAAAACTAAGGTTCTTCTACAAACGGCTCCCATTTTGGCTGCACCGATTATATGGCATTAGCACTTCTGCATCATCTATGTCAGTATTGTCCAACATGGCCGACGTGGAGTGGGTTATTATTTATACAGCGCCATCAAATTTCACAGCGCTTTACAATGGGTGGACGAACGGACATGTAGTTGTAACCAGACAAGTTGGACACACAGAAACAGAGGGGTTGAGGGCCCTGCTCAATGAGCTTACATCCTAGAGGGAGTGGGATAAAGTGACACAAAAGGTAAGGATAGTATTAGACTAGTGACAGTTGCAAGAGAGGAATCAGGCTGGAGCTATTAACAGTTCAATTGATACACTTTTATGAAGAAGTAGGTTTTTAATGATTGATTTTTTTTTTTGAAGGAGTGGAGACTGGGTGAGCATCTAACGGAGGAGGGAAGTGAGTTCCACAGGAACGGTGCAGCCCTCGAGAAATCTTGAAGGCGAGCATCAGAGGTGGGAGTACGGACAGAAGATATTCAGCAGATCGTAAAGGCCTAGACAGGACATACTTGTGTGTTAGGGAGGATAGATAGGTGGGAGCAGCATTATGTAGATTTGAAAGTATTCAATTTTAAATTGAGCTCTATATTTTATAGGAAGCCAATGTAGGGACTGATAGAAGGGTGAGGCATGGGAGGTGCGGGCAGAAAGGAAGATGAGCCTCGCCGCTGCATTCATTATGGACTGTAACAGCACAAGGTGGGAGCACGTAAGACCCCTGAGAAGCGGATTACAGTAGTCAAGGCGAGAAAGGACAGTGGAATGGACCAACACCTTAGTCGCATCTGGCGATTAGTAGGGGATGCGCACAATGTTTTCTAGATGGAAGGGGTAGGATTTGGCGATAGACTGATCATGAGACATGAAGGAGAGGTCGGAGTCAAAGAGAACACCTGGGCAGCGAGCCTAGCACTCAGTCATTACAGCCACAAGGGGGCAGTTCCATCCTAGTTTACATTAAACCAGGCGCAGCGGCAGGACCCGCTAGGCACAGTTACCACTTTGGCAACCTGTTTGAGAGTTATTTAGAGCTCTCCTTTAAATTCTAGGAGTTTTTGTAATTGCTTTTTGTGCTGTGACCAGGCACGCTTTGCCAAATCATTTTGTTCCAGTCTGACCGCACAGAGTCTGACAGATTTAGCATTGTTTGACTGGTGCAGAGAATTTCAGATCTGAATGGTTTTCCTGGAACAATGGGACACGCTGGCATTTATTTTACAGTAGGGGAGACTAGAGGCCAAAACCACTGAAGCGTGGGAAATTTCAGTTCTTTGTAACACGTTTTATAATTTCATCGTCAGTTCATCACAAATCACTGTTTCATGAATTCCTTACACCAGCAAAAAAAAAAAAAAAAAAAAAAATCCTGGTTCTGGGAATAACCGTGTAAAACAGGAATGTCCTCAGATTACGGAATGAGTTGGGATGCAGTGGTTTCAATAAGGAGTGAGGGGAATTAGGATTTTTATATGTGTCAGACTTTCGTGGAACCTTTAGATGCCAAAACAAATTTCTAATCAGTGTACTTACCCAATGTATCCACGCTACATGTCAACTTAAAGTAAATTTCAAGAAACAAATTAATACAAAAAACAATATTTTTATTATGGAAAGTAAAAGGTGAATCTTGATTGTTTAACCCCTTTCACTCTTAAAATAGTGTATTTAAGTTTGTCTGAAAAGCAATAAATAGATCAATAATATATATATATATATATATATATATATATATATATTTATATATATATTTACTGGCCAACTGCGCATACTTGAATTTCAAATAAATGTTTTGCCAATTATTTCCAAACAAAGTGCTGACGTAAACTGATTATTGCGGAGACACCTCTACAAGGGAAACAATTTACCATTTAAGAATCAAGGCAGTTTCCCAGTTTGTAGCATAATGGGAAATTGGCTAAACCTGAGCTTTTACCTTCTTTTGGATCATCCTTGAAACCGATGTGTGGATCAACCTAAGACTAGGTGATGGATAACTTCGGTTAATTTAAATTTAGTTTTTTCTACAAATAATCACAGAACACGGAGTGAAAGCGAATGCACCTTTAATATTGATACTGAAAAGGTTCTTTGGTAAAGGTTACACTATTTATTATGCGTTGTCTCTGATACATTATAGAAGGAAGATACAAAAAGGCACTTCACCAGGACTATAAACAGGAGACATTATAGCAATGAATGTATGATTTGCAAATCACCAAACCGAGACCAGAATAGCAGCGCTATCTGATGACAGCATGCAATGTCACGGGTCTGAGAGGGGTTAATAGTAAGACTGCACCCTAACCTGTAACAGGAGTGAAGGAGCTGCTGTATTAAGTCAGTCGTCACCGATTTACGGTTACAGCTTGTTCCGCATAGGAATCTGACAGGACTGCTTTCCACATTATGGACTGTGTGTTCGCGATGGGAAGGGGTATTCAATAAACTGACAGATTTCCCAAATATAGGGCAAATTATCAAGGGAAGAAAATCCTAAACTGCATGTCAAATGTCAGTTAGATTATCTGCTATTTGGACGTATTCATTAAACAGCAAGTTTGGAGACTTTGCTGCCAACTAGACAAGATGCAGTATCCTTCTATTGTTTGCCCCTCCCCTCCCCTCCTATTTTGATCTAAAATGTAAAAGTCTGTTCCAAACTTACAAAAAAAAAAAAATTAATTTCCATTTAGTAAATCGAGTCATGTTTTCAGGGTTTTGAAATGGGATTCTGGGATACAGCGCAGTTTGGTCAGATACAGGCAGCACGCTAGTTTAAACTACATCACCCATCACTCAGGCTCTGGGGATGATTGGCATGACTGTTACACATCTCTGCTATGGCAGGAGTTGGTCTACCTTATGGAAAATCCAAATATGGATGTCCGGCAGCAAAACCAACAAATTAAGCTAGATTCCCATGAACACAGCACAATCCCCTGCACACCTCAGTGTTAAACACACAGGATTGGTAGTTTCCAGGAAAGCAGATATTAACAGGTTAATAGAACACAGAATTTTACAATTCAGAGTTATAAATTATTCTGAAAACATAATTCCTGCCTGTGTCAAAATTCTTGGTACAGTTCTAGATAAAATATTAAAAAAAAAGAAATAATCTTTAATTTCTTCATTCAGAATACTGTGCTCTACATCTGCACCTCTGTAACAATTAGACGCGTTTAATGAGGACGTTATGTTACGTCACCAGAACGGATGGGAAATTCCTTTAAATACTTTAATAGCAAAAAGGTTACATATACTGGTTCTGCTGACCCTTCCTGATAAAGGTGTTCTAGCTGTGAATAATCTTTAATACCTCAGCTGCTGCAAAATTATAAGCATTAGGATAAAAGCATTCCAAGCTCTTAATGTGCGATTTGTGTCCCCTGGGTAAAGGGTCTGCCAATCAGATCAGCTATGCACTGTATCATCAAAATGAAACCAATTACACCCGCTGTAGCACATTTTACATACCTGCAAACAATGATAAGAATACGGGACACGAATAGTCACAAACGTGCAGCACAGCCCACATGTAGGTTGCGTGGCAGGTCAGTCGCAATGCAGACAAACCGATGATTAGCACGGCTTACAGACATGCAAACACAATTTCAGAAATGCTTATATTTTAAATCTTATAACACTTTACAATTCTTTAAAAAGGCAAAGAATGAACATTTTAAAAGGAGCCACGTTTTAGTGCAAATAAGGAAACATTCTAAATGCTCCAAAGGCAAGACTTGCGAGTGCGACGATGAAAAAGGAAGGCAAGATTTATAGTGACTACGAGTCAGAGGGCGTTTACGTGGAAAGTGCAATAAATTCTATACTAAAAATAAAGGCCTGATCGAAGGAAGGTGTGTCAGCCTTGTGACTGGTCTTATCGAAGAACTAGCAAATCGGCAGAAAGTTGTGAATGATATAGAAAGGTGCTGTGTGTCAGTATATTTCATGCAGTGAATTAATCAGACGTGGCGGGGCTAATTTATGTGAGATCCCGTCCCCCATTGACCCCCAAAATTCCTGCTCCCTCTTCTAGAAGGGACAAAACCAATTCATTTCCACTTTCTGCAGCAATTCCACAGGAAAATTCTAAAAGTGCAGCAATCAGAAGGAACATTCCATTGGTTTCCATGGTGACTGCTCCACTTTTAAAAAGACGCTGCTCCTGGACCAGTATTTACACCGGACCCTGTAACTGCCTCTTACAGCCTCCCAGTCACGCAGTGTGCGGGGTTTATCACTTCCTGATCACAAACTTCACAAATGAGGAGCAATACTTTCAACATTACGAGAGAGACTTGCAAGTGCAGATTTACAAAGAACGACAGACAACTGCAACCAGAACAAAGTACATAAAAAAAAAAAAAAAAAATAAAAAACACCCTTTCGGTCTTGCAGTTATATTATTAAATCGCATTCAGTACATGGATGTCCTTTCGCTGGTCACACATTGCTGGAGAAAAAGCCAAACAATTTATAAACTGAACGTCGATATTTTGTGATACAGCCCATCGCAGACACAGATTAATAAAACCCACTTAGTGATTAACAAGGCATTTCTCAAACTCCTGGCAGGAAACGTTTCCATTCGATCCCAGTTACTGCGTCCATCTCCCACTCCTGACCGGCCAGGGACATTTCTAATAGGCAAACCTCTGGTCCTGAGGGTAGCCCAGCTTGTCCAGACTCGGGTTAATGGCGTACTGGATCATTGGTGGTGGACCACACATTAAGATGAGAACATCATCGCTGGGGGCAGGAATGAACGCTTTAATCATGTCTTCATTGACAAAGCCCTGGCTGTAATCCCAGTCTGGAAAGAGAGATACAGGTATTAGATCACATTCATGGCTGAAAGTAACCAAAGAATTACAAACTAAGCTATACCATGGGCCTTCAGAACCTCCTGCAGCCACAATAGCAGCGAAGGCAAACCTGGGCCCTGCAGAAAGAAAGGAAATGGATATCATTTCCAAACTCTTCCTTGAGACAGGCCTTCACCTGCAGACATTACATTCTTAAAGCCGCCATTACAGTTTAATGGCAACGCATAAACCCACGCGCCTGACGGGCTCAGTGCCCTCTGGAAATCATGAGGTCAGGAATGGAAAGTACTCTTCATGTAAAATAAATAAATCAATAAAGTACCCACATATCACTGGATGTGTTAAGAATAAAAGACCACTGCAGAGCCATAGAGTGTAAGCTCATCTGCCAACATCAAGGCAAAGCACTCAGAGGACAAACTGGCACAGGGCTAATTTTGTTTGTATATTGTGGCTGAATACTCTAACCCATGAGGACATTCTAGGAGTGATGCGAGTTGGAGCAGTATGCAAATTGCGTGTTTTGTATGAAAACATTGGATACAATTTGTAGCAGATTTCGTTTTTGGATGCTCAGAGACTAGAGACACAAATACACAACAGGGGGTTAAATACAATCAACTGGGGATTCATGGGAACAGACAGATGGTTACACTAGGGGTTGGGTGTGGGTATTTATTGGTGGTGGTTTTACAGCAGTCCCCAATTCAGGAAATGACTTCAAGGTGCGAGTCTTACCCTCTGGCGCTCTGTCCAGTGTGTACCACAGCTTAAACCTGGGGTGATTCACTCTGATCTCTTCCAGTTCGTCTCGGAGAAGGATGTCTTTCTCAGTCTGGAAAAGGCAAAGGATCATGAGCCTCAGCCCAAGCAGGGGGTGACTATAGTACTACTAATACAGCGGTTCTGTAGTCTGTAGCCTGTTCCTGTGGGTTTTCAATTTAAAAACAGTCGTTTCATTGCTGCCTAGTAACGCTTCTATGAGCAGACATGGCCACAATGAAGGGGAGATGTGTTACTGCAGTACACAAAATATATACAAATATCAGAGAGGAGTTCTTATTGCGCTGCATGCACCTCCCTCTGCAGCGCAGGGTATACAATACACAATAAGAACAAATGAGGGCAGCGCTACAGACTGCAGGTGTGCACACAAAGTGCTACAAGAAGGCTTATTTGAAAAACAGACAGAATTGCAAGTGTTTCGGAAGGACATGCATTGAGAAAGGGGAGAACCCAAAAGGTTTGCAATTCTGTCTGTTGTCTTTTAAATGCACTTTTACAGCACTTTTTGTGCACACCTGCAGCTTGTAGCGCTGCCCTATTTTTTTTTTTTTCTTAGTCTGTGTCTAGACGCAGTCACTCAGACGACCACTAGAGGTGGTCCTGTCTCGGTGCTGCTCAATGTGCAGCACCTACATTCAGCGTGTCCACGCTTTGCATTGAGACACTGAATGCTCCCAATAGAGATGCACGGAGTCAATAAATCTCTGAGGAGTTGCTGATTGGTGCAGAGTTTTGCCGCGCATGAGCAACAGCACCAGCACAACAAAGGAGAGAAGGGGAGCAAAACATCTTAACCCCAAAGAGAGGGGGCTGGGGACCTAACTATTCCACCACAGGTTTGTATTCCCAATACTAGAATGTTCCTTTAACTAGCATTAAAAACACAGGATTTACTTATATTTAAAATTTAAATACAAAAGGCAAAAGTTAAGAAAAAAATAGCCAAACCAAGCATTTTTCAGCTGTATCTTTATGTTCCCTAAATTTGAAAAAAAAAGTTTAGTGAATACTACCTACAGTGCACATTGTGAGACCCTCTGCGGAAACAAACAACGTCACGGCTCAGAGTATTCGCTTATTACAACGAGATATTAACGGAATGAACAAACAGATACATTTTAATCCCATCACTGGAGGCAACGTCATGTCTCAGAGTATTCGCTTATTACAATGAGATTAACTGAATGAACAGACAGATACACTTAAATCCCCGCAAAGTCTCTGTGATGAGAATCATACTTAATAAGGGTTGTGACAAAGCTACACTCCGAGTATCTCTGCTAAGTATCCCCTTCCCTCCGGAGCAGACCAGCTACAGTGATTATAGCTCAATCCCCAAGGAAAGATTTATTTTTAATCATCGCAGGAGATTTCGTTTATTGAAGAAGAAGAAAAAAAATGCCTTTACCTTCCAGAAGCTATTGCTGATATTTGTGATTTTATTGAAATGTTCGAGTGGGAGAAACTTACATTTTATAGTTATTTTAATGAGACATGCCTAGTATGAGCAAAGTAAGGTGCAAGGACAAACAAGTCATTTCCTGCATGCGCTGTGTGTAGAACGTCCTGGCAGTTAATTGGTTAATAACCACAATTCCTTTAAACACTCACATACCTGGTTAGCAAACAGCAGGTAGCAGGTGGTTTTGTCATCTTTGTCCTTGGTTATGGCGCGGACGAGTTGCAGCATTGGAGTTATTCCTGTGAAAGAATGAAAATAAGAAATATTTTTTTTGCTAGTTTAGACACCTTGTGGTTGACGGGGGACCCAAAAGCTCATAAGTACTTACCGGTTCCACCAGCAATCAGACCCAGGTGCTTCACGTTCTTTTTGACTGGGGTAGACTTCTTATCAGGGCGGATTTCAAATGTTCCTAAAGAAAGAAAGAAAAGAAAAAAAAGTAATTATCTTCCAAGTGTGCAGAATCCTGACCTGCGAGAAACGCACAGAGACCCAGCGAGCCCCGGGCCTGCGCAAAACGCAGCCTGTCTGATAAATGGTAGAATTAAACAAATATTTTACCTTTTCCTTTGTAAACCAGCAGACCGCTTGGGCCCCGGAAGTCAATAGTTTCATTTATTCTCAGACTTTCCAGATACTGAGACATCTTCCCTCCCTCGGGAAACTTCGGATGGATTCCTTTAAAGTAGATCTGAAAGAAATGTCATTTTAAAGCTGGGAATGTTGCACTTTAATGCCTACAATCAGAGTCACCACGAGTAGTGTCACTCCTTATTTACAAATGACTTGTATCAAGTACAGAGCAACCCTTCACCAACCCAGGGAACATCGCACAGGGTGATTAAACCCAGCACGAGTTAGGGTGGTGTGAAATGATTGCTTATTTTCCATCTAAAATACAATATAATTTGTGACAGCTTAAGGGGCTTTTTGGATCATAGATTAAGAATGATATGAAAATTCTACAAAATACCTAGAAATATAAAAACACAGGAAAGGGGGCGGGGCTTAGCGGCGTTCCGGCACAGACGCCATTTCGGGAGCTCCGCAACTTTCACGGCGAAACCCGCCAAATATCCATACCCCTGACAGCCATCGACTCACCTGGGGCCAAGCAACAGCTGCAGGAGTGGGGGAGGTACACACTGATGCCTTTCTTTCAGCTGCCGGGCGCGAAACAAAAACGCCGGCCCCACAGGGCCTCCCACGCGGCCAGCCAGAAAACCGCGACGAATGCCTTTGCGGCCTGGTGGGATCAGGACTGGCTGACACCTGAGGACCGGGAGGCACAGCCCCAAGAATTGGCAGCTATGGGAAAGAAGACCCCAAAACCCCAGGTACATACACCAGGGAAAACACAAGACATAGGCACTCTGCTCCAACACCCACCCAAACACAGGGGGCAATATCAGGCCACAGCTGAGGCCTCTGACACCCAAGAAGCGGAGAGGGGGATGGCAGACACCCCAGGGTCTCCCACAGATAGGCTCCCAGCCACATCTACCACAGCAAACCTGGTCCCAGCGACAAAGTCAGACATTGACAACCTCTGTCAAAATACAGCAGTTGTTCGCAGCAGACATGGCCGCGGTACGGGCAGAAGTACAAGCGGTCACAACCCGCGTCCAAACCTCAGAAACAGACATCACAATCTGGCAATAGTGGGAGACTCGGTCAGGCAACTACAAGCTCTCCATTCCACCCTGACACTGAAAGTGGACGCCCTAGATGAAAGAACCCACCAGAAGAACTTGAAGATAAGAGGGGTCCCAGATTATGTGGGGTCAGAAGAACTTCCCCACTATATCAGGAGGCTAGTAAACACACTGCTTCCAGCAAAATTAGCCAAACAATTTGTAACCGATGGGGCATACCGCATCGCCAAATCCCCTAAGGCACCACTCACAGCCCCAAGGGACATAATCCTGCGCTGCAGGACACGACAAGATAAACAAGCACTGATGAGAGCAGCCCAAGACAGAGCACCTCTGGAATTTGAATCACAAAAAATATAAATCTTCCATGATCTGCATCGCTCCACCTTGATATGGAGGAAAACCATGAAACCCATAATACGACTTCAAGAGACAGGAATGCCGTATAAATGGACTACCCCTAGGGCCCTTACAGTCATCAAAGACGGCAAGCAACGAAGGCCACAGACGTGGTGGAAGCAACCACCTTCCTGGCAGCGATAGGATTGGACACTGGCCCGCCGGAGCAGGAGGCACAAGCCACCACCAGCACCTGGGACGTGGACAACATCACGCCCTCTGCGCCAAGAAGTGGACTAAATGCCATGACATGAAACAAATCAACAGAAAAGCATCTTCCACTACACTATGCAACACACCAATCCCACGATTTACTCAACCCCGAAAAAGTCTGTGCCAAACTGAAGAATGCCATCAAAGACTCTCATTGATGACTAACCCATTACAAACCCCTCCCCCATGTTACCCCATAGGTTAGGGGTTCAGATCAACCTCCATAACTCAGGGCTGATCCTAGACCCTCGACATACTGACTGGGAGCTGACACTCATTGGCCATAGGTGAGAAACTAGAGCACACCCTATAGAGGACTACAAATCTCCCTCTATATCGACAAACTATAGCGACGGACTTAGCCATTCACACCTGAATGTGACGAGACAGGCCCATTACACACAACTACAGGGCGCATAACACAAACCCAGTTTCCCTGACTACGAGTTATTGTTGCACGCTGGTTGTGAGAGGTATTGTTGTTAACGTATTTGACTAGCCCAATCTAAAAAACAAAAAACAGGTGTACGAAATGTCAAAATTGTCACTGTAACCAAATATATATATGCACTATTCTATGCTTTAAAAAAAAAAAAAAAAAAACAACTTTCTCTGACATGTAAGACCACCTGCAAAAAAAAACAAAAACAAAAAAAAAACCACGAAACCAAAAACAACCAAACATCTAATCTGTAGATAGTGATGTAAGTAACCCAGATTTAGAGTTCTTTTCCCATATACAAAACTAGGCTGGTACCCATCGTTATTGGGGTGCTCTGATCAATATTGGGGTGCTCTAAGTGGGTGTTATACGTCTATAAACCCATCAGTATTGGGGTGCTCTGGGGTTGTAGGTCTATGAACCCACCAATATTAGGGTGCTCTGGGGTGACGTTGTAGGTGTATGAACCCACTGGTATTGAAGTAGGGGTTAAAGCGGCACTGTCATGCCGAATTCTGTTTTTCTTTTTTTAACCCCTCTCCCGCCTCCACTACATCCAATTGACCCACTAGTCACCCCCAAATGCCCCTAAGCCCCCCACATTACCTATTTTTTAATCCTTATTTTCTGCCCCGATCTATATTCAGGGCGCCGCCATCTTTGTGTGGGTAGATGAAGTCCCTGTGGGACACGTCATCAGCCCACACTAGGCAGACTGTGAGATTCCCGCACATGCCCAGTGAAACACCTGGACATGCAAACGGGAATTTCATCTATTCACTCATTCATCAGACAGATGAATGAATGAATAGAAAGATCAGCCGAACAAACTAACACTGTGTATCAGTGTATCTGAGTATCAGTGTTTGTTTGTTCGTGCAGTTTATTACAAGGAGGGAGCTACCGGCACGCAGCTCCCTCCTTGTAATATGTAAAGATAGAAGTGGCAGGGAGCAGTGCTCCCCACCACTTCCTAAGCCCCCCCAGGTCCCCCTCTCACTCTATGGGGGTCAATATGACCCCCATAATAGCACAAGGGAGATTAAAATCTCCCAAATGCCCCTACTCGCTATACCGCGAGTAGGGGCATGTCCACTAAACAGTGAGCAGCCTGTGGCTGATCACTAAAAACAAAACACAACTATTGGCCCCCACCCCTAAACAGTGAGAATGGGCGGCGGGTGGGGGCCATAGTGAGAATGAGAGGGGGAACCTGCCTGGGGGTGGGGGCCATGAAGATAATGAGGGGACCTACTGTCCTCACCTCCGGCCCCACCCCTGAGCCGGGTGGGGGCCCTAAGTCAATTTTTATTTTATTTTCAATTCGACGGTTATGATGGTTTTTTATTTGGCCTTTTTTGGGGCTGAAAAAGAAGATTTGAGAAAAAAGAAGACGTCGAATGGTAAGTTTAATTTTATTTTACAGGTTAGTTATTTTATTCCCCCCTCACTATTTTTTAGGGTGAGGGGGGTAGGTAGGGACTTTTTTTTGGGTGGGGGGGGTGGGTGACTAGGGGCTTGGGGACCCCTAGTCACCTTGGGGGGGGGAGAATTGACTTAGGGCCCCCACCCGCCGCCCAGGGGTGGGGGCCGGGGTGAGGACAGTAGGTGTGTCCCCCCTCATTATCTTCATGGCCCCCACCCGCCGCCCAGGGGTGGGGGCGGGGGGGGCAGTAGGTCCCCCCCCCATTCTCATTATGGCCCCAACCCGCCGCCCAGGGGTGGGGGCAGTAGGTCCCCCCCCATTCTCATTATGGTCCCCACCCGCCGCCCAGGGGTGGGGGCCGGGGGGAGGACAGTAGGTCGTCCCCCCCCCCATTCTCATTATGGCCCCCACCCGCCGCCCAGGGGTGGGGGCCGGGGGGGGGCAGTAGGTCCCCCCCCCAATTCTCATTATGGCCCCCACCCGTCGTTTAGGGGTGGGGGCCAATAGTTTTTTTTTTTTTTACCAGACATGCCCCTACTCGCAGTATAGCGAGTAGGGGCATATTACTTACTAATACTAAGTAATATTTAGGTCTTTCAGCCTTTTAGTAGATAGCTCCCTGATACCGTGGGAATTAGGGAGTTATCTACTAAGCGGCTGCAAGATGCAGCCACAGCAATGAATAGGAACAGAGTTTCATTCATTAGAATGAAATTCCGATCCGAATAAAGTGCCGAATTGCGTTCTAAAAGGAACGAACATACTGTTTTCATTCAGTTAGAACGCAATTCGGCAGTTTTGTGTAAAGTGACAGGAAGCATTGTGGGAACACAGAGGGAAGGTGAGAATCATGGGAAAATTGCTCTGACCAGCGGAAATGAAGCACACTTTGCTCCTCCGCTGGTCAGAGCTGGTCAAGCGGAGGAATCCCCCATAAGGCAAAGAGTCCCTACTTTGTCTTATGATTTTAAAGAAAACTAAAGAAGACAGGAAGAAAAGAATAACAGATCCTGAGAGAGGGGGAGAAGAGGAAGAGATTGAGGAAAGGTAAGTTCGGCATGACAGTGCCGCTTTAATGTAGGTCCATGAGCCAGGGGAATGATTAAATGCTCATAATTTCAATAAAAGTCAGGTGGCTCTAAGTAGTAATTAATGCAGGCTGTCGATTATCTCACCTTCACAACAAGGTCTACGTAGCCTTTATCATCATCACTGGATACTGGTGTGTAGGGTCTAACCACCAGATTGCCGTCGATCCTGGCCGACAGATAGATGTGCTGCCCTGAAATCATGATGAAAGAAGGGATTTATAATAAGGGTCTTTGTAACGAGCGCAGAGAGTCAGGGACAGAAAATCACGTAATATTGATTAAAATAAAATGTTTCCTAAACCTTGAATTGCGCACATTGAAAGGGTTACTCCTAGCATCGATGATTTGAAGTGGTCATGGTGCCTGAAGTCAGTATGTGCAGTGTTTTGCTGAGACGTTGCAGAGTTTAACCCCTTTGCTGCCGGAGGTGTAAACACTTGCCAGACAGCTAGACTGGAAGAATATCCACTTAAAGTGTTTCCAGACCAGGCATTTCCAAAACTCACCAATTTCCACCGATCTCTCTCGTGGATCAGTAAAGAAGTTTTTATAGGTTATACTTAACCTGCAAGATGATTCCCTGTCTGAGAGTATCCACACACTCCCATGACCCTCAGCCAGCGGTAATGCAGGGTGCGGCACATGCTATACGTGGATCACTGCACTACATTTTTATAATGGCAGCATTTTACAGAACGCTCAGTCCCACCCGCAGGGGTTCTGCAATTCTAGTTAGTATTTTGGTCGAGAATGGGTAAATTCAGACCAGCATGTGTCACAGTGCTCCCCAGACTGTTATTATTGGTTTATTGCTTGGAAAATGTCAGAAGCCAACACACTGCTTCTCAAAAACAAGTAAAAAAATAACAGTCAATCCCGTACACATCAGTGCCGCCTTGACTTAGAGTAGTGCCAACCTGAGGTACCCACGTGTGAGGTGCTGGGTGTTTTCACGATGCCGGCAGCACTGCCTCTTCTCACCCATCACAAACGGCACAGGTAATTCATGGTTTTTTGTGGGCCCTTTCATTTGAACTGCAACACTCATAAACCCCGCTATGCAAATTCCAGTCTGATGAGTCCCTTTTGAGGCTATGCCATCTATATTGTAGAAGATAAGCAGACATCACTTACCGATCGGAAGACCCAGGACATGCTCAGGAGAAGGCAAAGCAAAGCGGAATCTTCTAGTGTCATGGCTTATTTCCTGGAACAGATTTTAGATAATGAAATACCGCACACACACAAAAAAAAGCAGTTTACAAACGCATTTATTGGATTTCAGTAAATAGAGTGAGAAGTTTACCTCTCTGCTAATAAGTCGTAGGGGGTATTTGATGTCCGCACTCTCCAAGGTGATGGCAGGGGCACGCTTGCCAAAAATTCTCAGGAAAATGCCATAAATTATCGCGAATGGGAAACTTGCGATTCTTCCGAGCTGGAATTAAAATAAAATAATCAGTTAAATCCCATTCTCTGCAAGTCTATGTATCTGGAGAGAACATTTCCAAACCAGTTATACGAACAGCTATGATTTCTTGCAAAACTATGAGACAACCTTCACAGTCGCGAACCTCAGTCTGCAAATTGATGCAAGAACGTCGAGGGCCAGATGGGCAGCCGCACTGTAAACTCACATTCCAACTGGTTTCAAAACTGTAAATTCCATGGAATGTCAAGGGTATGCAAGGGTTGGGGAAAGCGATACTGTGCAAAAATGTAACCAGCACAAAAGACCTCTCTGACGTGCATGCTGGCCGACCCACGCCGCTGATCAGTGAAGCGGATTTAGAAATGGAACCAAGAAAGGCGCAGAGAACAACTATTAGACCCACAATAATATATAAACAAAAATTGCCAACATCCTACAATATGGGGATAAATACTACCAGACTGAATATACTCCTTAAAAGGATAGCCAGCATTGGCTAGTCATGTAAAATGAAAAAGAGACCGAGTGTAAACAGATACTACATTACTTACAACCAATAAATAATTAAATAAACAAAAACTTCACAAACAGAATTGCGGCCAATAGACAAAGACGGCAGAGAGCCAGAGGTGCTTTATTTAATCAACGTCTTGGTATAAATTATGATTCAAGATAATAGATCATTAACCAGCGATTAACCCTGAATGGATAGACAGGTCACCATCTAGTGCCCATTGTTCATTAATCTAAAGATCCACCCTGCCATGCGAACAATACATGTGAGATCTTGTTTGTTATAATGTCTGTCTGCCCATAGGGACTATCTGAAACCAGCCCACATGTGACTATATCCAGAACGGACTGAGAGCGGACTAGCATTCCAGCACAAAGAGGGGGACAAAATCATTGCAAACAACCCCCCTCGCCCCACCCCACACTAAAAATACTGTGTATTACACAATGCCTAGCCATTCTGTGCCAAGAGGAAGTGGTGGGTTACAGATTATATGTAAAAGTCTAATAATTAAATTATTCATGTACGGCAGAGCTGGGGCTGGACACACACGTCCTCTCTCATCCCCCTCCCCAATTTTACAAAATGTTCAGATTTCAATAGAAATTGGCACTTTTCTAAATTAACCTTGTTACACTCCCCTGATTGTCAGACAGGTTGTCTTGTTACTTCGTGGTTTGTTTAGCTCAGTGGAGCTACACTCAAGAGGCAGCAATTGCCCAGAGCACCAGCCTTGCAAAGACTTCTCATTGAGCTGTATTGGGAAGTCTGTGATTGGACAGCTAAAGAAAGCCTGGGCGGGGTTAGAAGGGGAGGGCTTGCAAGGCTGCACACAAGAGATCTGGAGGTTTTACAAGCTGTTTTAAGATCTACACCCAGTGGAAAATGTTGATTTAAATGCAATCAAGTTTTCAATGGGGGCGTTTCTACTAAACAGTGATTAATTTATATTTGTATTCGAGCATTGAAGGGCCCCCTTTAACCTGAGATTGTAGGGAAGCCTCAAAATCCATTTAACCCGTGAATCTTATAAAACTAAAGCTTTTGGGTAGATCTGAAGGATTTGAGGTGCTGGAGGGTGTGAGTGGGTACAGTTTAAGAAAATGATCGAACAATTTCTTCTAATTAAGTCCTATAACCTTTATTCGCTCTCCTGAAGCCAGGACAGAAATAGAAACACAAGATTTATGCGTAGATCATTAGAACACAAGCCATGCCTATTTACACACACACACAGAGGGGCTGATTGGCTCACACTGATTGTGACTGGTCACTATGATGGCTTTAAGAAAAAACAAACCCACATGGAATAGATTAAAATAGGGCTTAGTATATCCCAGGCCTTAATTTTTATTTTTATTTTTTTTTTTTTAAATTAAAATTCAAAATTACTTGCCCCCAGCTGCTGGGCTCAAGTTTATTTCTGCAACCAGCGGCGCATCCATCCAGTGTGGCGGTAATCTGACTTTTTTTCTTAGAACTCTCAGTTAAAAAAAAAAAAAAAAAGGTGGAGCACTCAGGGCAATACACGGGCCGCACAGCGGGGGATACATTCAGGGCAATACACGGGCCGCACAGCGAGGGCTCCATTCAGGGCAATACACGGGCCGCACAGCGAGGGCTCCATTCAGGGCAATACACGGGCCGCTATCTTAGAGTCGAGTGATGGAAGACACTCCAAAGTAAATGACACGCGCCCACTCATCACGCACCATTCAAATCAACACCAAATCCTTAAACATTCCATGCTGGAGCTGGTCCATTCTTTTAAATGGATCACAATTGTAATAATAAATAATAATAATAATAAATAATAATAATAATAATAACCACCATACGCTGTTTCAGCATGTACTGCAAATCGCTAGGCTGTGACTCGACCAATCTTGGTACTCATATTTTATTAGTAAAATAACGTATTCTAGGACCTGTATTGACTTTTTACTGTGGAATGTGAACAACTGCAACTCCTAGAGTCCAAGTCAAGGCATTATAGCAGATCTGTCACTTTTCTGGGTCATTGCATATTTTTCAAAGACCCCTGAAACTGATCAGATGTCGGACTATTTACTGGAGGCTGGCCATGCAACTGCAATCGTGGTCCTATGGTGCCCCTCAGCTCCTGGTGCTTCAATTGCCAGCAAGAAGGAACGATAGTCCAGGTTGTCACGGGTGGGCATATGGAACAGAACGAAAACCTCACACAACCAACCAGCAGAATTGGGCTGGTGTTCGCTTTGCGGAGTGACCCTTTAATAGCACACAGCCCAATCATTATTTTCTATGGTGCCAAAGAAAATTCTCAACTTCACACCCTACCCAACCTCCCACAAGCTCCTTTCGATTGCAAGCTCATGGGGGCCCTTCTCATTTCACTCTTTGTATAACACTGCAACAATGCTGGGGCTGGTGTCTATTCCTTTTGTATTAGAATGTCAAATCCGTATAACCCACCCCACCCCCCCCACAAAAAAAATAAAGCACAGACACACGGCAGAGGAGGGCTACGCAGCGCGCGGCAGAGGAGGGAAACGCAGCGCAGAGTAGGGATACGCAGCGCAGTGCATGGCAGAGGAGGGATACGCAGCGCAGAGGAGGGATACGCAGCGCGCGGCAGAGGAGGGATACGCAGCGCGCGGCAGAGGAGGGATACGCAGCGCAGTGCATGGCAGAGGAGGGATACGCAGCGCAGTGCATGGCAGAGGAGGGATACGCAGCGCAGTGCATGGCAGAGGAGGGATACGCAGCGCAGTGCATGGCAGAGGAGGGATATGCAATGCAGCTGTTTACAGGGTTCTAGCGAGGATTTGACAGGACTTTTACGATGACTCAGCTGCGCTTCCAATGCTTTCCCCATTAGTCACTGTGAAATAGTTTCCAAACACACAGTATTCACATTGTCCATCACAGAATATCGTATCCTGTAGCCTTCTGATATCTAGTGTTAAATCTAACCAGAACTGCAAAATCACACGACTTCATTGATTGAAACCAAAACAAATTGCTAGATTCCAGCAAAGATAAATAAATAAAAGTTGTGACTATAGCAAAGCAGGAACATTTTTTTCAAAACCAAATACTCCTGAATTGCCTGTTGTGATGTCAGAGTGTAGTGTTAACAGAAGTATTCAGCAAAAATGATACAGCTACTTTGATACGCTAAATGTCAATAATTAATAATAAAAAAAAAAAATTAAAAATTGAAAATAGTTAATATATGCAGATCCATTCACACTTTGGAGAGGGCGAGCATGTTTTCTGATCAATAACCATTTTTATTAAATTGATCAGTTAGTCTGCCAACACACATTTTATAGTAATCCTTTAGCAGCTTATCCAACGCCAACTGTATCCATCGCCATTCCTGCTAAATAATAAATGGGCAGAATTGAAGGATTCTGAGAACACGCAGTGCGCAGATCAGCTTTTATGGACCGGTTATAAGAACACGTTCTACTGCTCTCCTTCCAAATAACATTCTGTGTTCAAGCCATCATTTCAGGGGAGACGAGCTGCAAGGACATAACGTCCTCTATAAAAACAACATTCTGTAAAGTCATACGACAATCTCGGAAATCTTGCTAAAGCTGCAAAGAGCAGACTGAACCTGAATTGGAAAAATATCAGATTTTTTTTATTTTTTTCCCCCTATGTTAGGTGAAAATGACAATGTTAAAAATTAGAAATATTTGGTTGAACTAACACACTTGCTATAGTGAAACACTTTCAGCTTAAGGCCGGGTTAAACATGTCACAGAACTAAATTAAACCTCCAACATGCTGACAGGGTCACAGCTTGCATGCAATGGCTCCTGGCACAATGCCAGCAGTTAGCGTTCCTTCGGGCAATAATTCGAGGATGCTCAATGCATGCAGGCAGGAGCATGTATCAGTATGGTGGTATCACTGTACGGTGGAAGCAATGCTGCGGCAATCATTCGGCAATATGAAGATTTAGTACCCACAGCAGACAATGCCAGCTCCTCCAACGACTAATCATTAACATGGCATCTTCGTATTGTACAGAGACTGACCGCCAAACATTAACTCACACACACACCAAGACCTCTCTGCATCAGCTAAATGTAAGCTCTGCAGGTTAAACCAAGGTGATGTGTTCTAAACAAACCCAACACATCTTTCAGTTCTGCACATATAAACTGAAATGAAGCGTTTCCCAGCAAACAGTGTAACAGACCTGGTGCCAGACTAACTGCAGGCTCCTGGTACACAGGGCATAGAGAAGCCACTATGCCATTTGTTCCAGGCTTGAAGCAGGCATGCAATAGTGATGCCAAGTTACCTATACACATGCCAGCCTTGCAAGGCAGTGTGTTATAGTTAGAGGAGTGCCAGCAATGCCAGGGTGCCAAGAGCTTTCATCTACCAAAAAAGTGATTTTTAAGATTAAAGGACCACTATAGTGTTAGGAAAACATACTCGTTTTCCTGGCACTATAGTGCCCTGAGGGTGCCCCCACCCTCAGGGTTTATTAAAAAATATGTTTATTAAAAAATGGGTTAACCCTAGAAGGACCTGGCACCCAGACCACTTCATTAAGCTGAAGTGGTCTGGGTGCCTAGAGGGGTCCTTTAACGTGACTCACAAAGAAAACTAGTGATAGCACCGTGGGGGCAACAGGGTGGGAGTGGCATGGTGGGGTTATAGTGTGGGAGAATCGGGGTACAGTGAGGGGGGAGGGGCGGTATATCGGGGTACAGTGAGGGGGAGGGGCAGTATATCGGGGTACAGTGAGGGGGAGGGGCGGTATATCCGGTACAGTGAGGGGGAGGGCGGTTGTGAAGAAATGCCCCTCTTATGCTGTAAACTGACAATTTGTATGCCCTTTTTTTTTTTTTATAGTAAATTTTCCCTATGGCATTTGGTAGGTAAAACTACCGAATCAGGACCACTCTGTTGCCCATTATACACACTTTACCTCCCTGCTTGCTGGATTACGTTCGACGGAAGTTCTTCACGAACGGCATGCCCCGCCGCCATTTCGGGACTTCCATGTGTTCGCGGCCATTTTAGCTCCCGAACAGCGGTGTTTGCCGTCGAGTGTCTGGAACTGAAAACGGACACTCAAATAGGCGAACACTGCTGAATCCTCCATACCTTCGGTAAAACCCCTTTAAAACTACCGAACGAATAACAGATGGGGAATCAAGCGAACCAAGGATGGCCGGCCGTTCGGGAGGTTTTTCATGCGACCGACTGCAGGGCCAGAATTCATGGAACTGTTTTTGGCTACTTTGCCCGTGCAGTCGGTCAAAACTTCTAAGTCCCATATCTCCCGAATGGCTGAACCGAATGGGGACACCAAAATTATGCCTGTACCCCAAGTCCTTGGGGAATTTCTGTTCCGTTTTAATGGTTATCTGAGGGGAGGAGATGTACAGTATGTATATTGCTAGGATTGGGTGTATGGCTAGTTATATGGGAGGCTCAGTCCATCTTTGTTCCCTGATTCTGACTGCGGCTGCTGTTTGGGAGTTCGTGTGTTTTACTGAGGGAATTATCCGGGGACACTATTGGGACTACACTGGGATTCCACCTACCATAACCACCGTACAGATATGATACCATATACCATGATACCATAACCACCGCGCGATACCATAACCACCGCGGCCGATACCATAACCACCGCGCGCGGGGCGGTACTCGCTGGGCTCGGGCTGTTCGGGAGGAAACTACTGATTAAGGTGTAAACGGACCCGGTTTCCTTACAGTCGGTCCCCGCTTACCGTGCTGAGCTGGGCTCCCATTCTGCCGGTGACAGGAGCGGACTCTGTGCGAGGACACAGCGAGTTACTAAAGCTTCCGAGATAGCACGCAGCCCCACTGACAGGTCCCGCCCCCTGCGCCCGCTGATTAGCCCAGAGACATGTCAATCATCCTGGCGCACTGACACCCACCTCCCCAACGCTCGCTAATTTGTCAATAGAGCTGTCAATCATACGTGTACCCGCCCCCTTTAAACCGTCATCACGCAGCGTTCATGGAAAAGATGACACCCACTTTCTTCACATAATTGGTCAGTAGAACTGCCAATCATTCTCCCATTGACAAGCCCCGCCCCGCAGATGCTGGCAGGGTTCCACCCAGGTCTCCCGTTGCTGGGTGTGTCCAGCGAGCTCTGTGATTGGCTGCCGGGCTGGGAGGCTGGGTATCGCTGTCTGGGTCCTAGCGCCTGCCGGTCACAGCGCAGACAGCAGCAGGGATGGCAGCCACAAGGTAGGAGTTCGCTAACCAGGGGCCCCCAGGGGCCAGCACCCCAAACCAGGGGCCCCACCACCACTCAGCACCCCAAAATAACCTCTGGGTCTGTTCATACACAATTAGATTGTAAGTTCTTGGACCCAGTAGGTTTGCTCACACATTACCCACTCCTCCTCCATGATGTGCTCTCTCTCTGGGGAGATTGTAAGCTCTTGGGCCCCAAAGTTTTGGTTCTGTATTACACTTCTCTCCCTCTCACCTTCCCTGGGGAGAGTGCAAGATCTTCAGCCAAGTTGTTCTGTGCTGGGTGTGACAGGAGTGACAGTTATTCAGTAACCACAGATTCTTATTATGTGTCTGATATATATATATATATATATATATATATATATATATATATATATATATATATTAACATTGATCAGTGGCAGTCTGTATTGTGAGATATGGTTATTGGTTGGATCAGGGGCAGTCTGTATTCTGTGATATGGTTATTGGTTGGATCAGGGGCAGTCTGTATTCTGTGATATGGTTATTGGTTGGATCAGGGGCAGTCTGTATTGTGTGATATGGTAATAGGTTGGATCAGGGGCAGTCTGTATTCTGTGATATGGTTATTGGTTGGATCAGGGGCAGTCTGTATTCTGTGATATGGTTATTGGTTGGATCAGGGGCAGTCTGTATTCTGTGATATGGTTATTAGTTTGGATCAGGGGCGATCTGTATTCTGTGATATGGTTATAGGTTGGACCGGAAGGGGCAGTCTGTATTCTGTGATATGGTTATTGGTTGGATCGAGGGGCGAGTCTGTATTCTGAGATATGTGGTTATATAAGGTTGGATCAGGGGCAGTCTGTATTCTGTGATATGGTTATTGGTTGGATCAGGGGCAGTCTGTATTCTGTGATATGGTTATTGGTTGGATCAGGGGCAGTCTGTATTGTGTGATATGGTAATAGGTTGGATCAGGGGCAGTCTGTATTCTGTGATATGGTTATTGGTTGGATCAGGGGCAGTCTGTATTCTGTGATATGGTTATTGGTTGGATCAGGGGCAGTCTGTATTCTGTGATATGGTTATAGGTTGGATCGGGGCAGTCTGTATTCTGTGATATGGTTATTGGTTGGATCAGGGGCAGTCTGTATTCTGAGATATGGTTATAGGTTGGATCAGGGGCAGTCTGTATTCTGTGATATGGTTATAGGTTGGATCAGGGGCAGTCTGTATTGTGTGATATGGTAATAGGTTGGATCAGGGGCAGTCTGTATTCTGTGATATGGTTATAGGTTGGATCAGGGATAGTCTGTATTCTGAGATATGGTTATTGGTTGAATCAGGGGCAGTCTGTATTCTGAGATATGGTTATAGGTTGGATCAGGGGCAGTCTGTATTGTGTGATATGGTTATTGGTTGGATCAGGGGCAGTCTGTATTGTGTGATATGGTTATAGGTTGGATCAGGGGCAGTCTGTGTTCTGTGATATGGTTATAGGTTGGATCAGGGGCAGTCTGTATTCTGTGATATGGTTATAGGTTGGATCAGGGGCAGTCTGTGTTCTGTGATATGGTTATAGGTTGGATCAGGGACAGTCTGTATTCGGAGATCTGGTTATAGGTTGGATCAGGGGCAGTCTGTATTCTGAGATCTGGTTATTGGTTGGATCAGGGGCTGTCTGTATACTGAGATCTGGTTATTGGTTGGATCAGGGGCAGTCTGTATTCGGAGATCTGGTTATAGGTTGGATCAGGGGCAGTCTGTGTTCTGTGATATGGTTATAGGTTGGATCGGGGCAGTCTGTATTCAGAGATCTGGTTATTGGTTGGATCGGGGCAGTCTGTGTTCGGTGATATGGTTATTGGTTGGATCAGGGGCAGTCTGTATTCGGAGATCTGGTTATTGGTTGGATCAGGGGCAGTCTGTATTCGGAGATCTGGTTATTGGTTGGATCAGGGGCAGTCTGTATTCTGAGATCTGGTTATAGGTTGGATCAGGGGCAGTCTGTATTCGGAGATCTGGTTATTGGTTGGATCAGGGGCAGTCTGTATTCGGAGATCTGGTTATTGGTTGGATCAGGGGCAGTCTGTATTCGGAGATCTGGTTATAGGTTGGATCAGGGGCAGTCTGTATTCGGAGATCTGGTTATTGGTTGGATCAGGGGCAGTCTGTAATCGGAGATCTGGTTACATTGTAACACGGATCCTCATCCAGTCTGGCATATACTTTCCAGGGCTGTCTGTAAATAGGAGCTGAGCTGTGAGTTCTTGTCTGTCTGGCAGTCTCCTGGTTCCCCTTTGACCTGCCAGTAATTCTGTTCTAATACAGCGTATTGTTTAACGAAGGCCGAATCACGGTGTTTGCTGACTTTCAGCTTAATACGTACATGGTTAATGAGTTTGTGGGAATATCTTTTATTAGGTCTAGTATTATTATTATTATTATTATTATTATTATTAATAATATAGCGCCATCAGATTCCGTGGCGCTGTACAATGAATGTTTATTATCTACCTTACCGTAACTTCCCACATCGCTCTCTGTTAGTACAGAACTAAATGACTGTATTAACGTGATATTGTGAATGTAACGGGGATAAACGCCCAGGGGTTAAGGTGCGGCTGCATACATTAATGATAACAGGTGAATCCAGCCGCTGTTTAACACACATTGTGCAAGATTTATAGCAATGTCCCGGAATAAAAGGACAATTCATGTGCGTGTGTGCGTATTTATATTCATTACTTTAATACTTTACACTGAGGTAGTTGTGAGTACATGGACTAAGCCACCCAGCAGAGGTGGTAGTGGCTGATTAAGGGGGCAAGCTCAGGAAACGGCCGGGTCAATTATAAAGCTGCTGCTTGTCACGAGACAGGACTAAATTCACGACTGCACTTAAATTCATCAGCTTTAATGGAAAGGTGTAATTTTTTTCTTTTTAATTGAATTTATTTAGAAAGGGTTGCCCTCTGGTTTGCCAAGTTCTGCTCCCTTTTCTGAAAGCTTGCGTTGCGTTCTCGGCATTGCCGGTCCGGCGTTGCAGCATTACGTCGCATTATGATGGTTCTAGTACCAAGGCCTAGTGTGCGCTCCGGATCCTTCATTAAAGTATTAAACTTGTTCGCTGAGATTATTTAGAAAATTAACTGTTGTGTCCTTCCTTTCACTTTTCACACGTTTCTCGTGTAAATTATAAATTTTATTTTAAGGATTTTGTGACCATAGTAATTTTTCTTTATTATTTTTATTATATAGAAGACGAGAAAATACGTGTTTCTTTCTGTCTGCAACCAAGCAAACGTGAACTACAAACGTTAAACAAAAATACTTTATTGGTTAAAGGAGAGGCAGAGTAAATAGCATCATTTTCAGAAGTGGAGAGACTATCGCTCTGTGAATGACACTCACTATAAATGTGTTTTTTAATTTTTTATTTTTTTTTTCCTAAAATTTTAAGTATTTACTTTTCATGTTCCTGGCAGCCATCTTTAACGGATACTAAGGGGGCTTGGGGGGAATACTGTTTGTGGACACGTAGACCTATGCTTAGCGATTGTTAACAGATGAAAGGCTTTAAAATCACCATGTTTCCTCCAGGCTTTTCGTAATTACCAGCATTAACCGTTTTACTTTGAAGCCAAATCCAGAGTCCAAGCTCTGAGGATTATTATTTAAAGTCCTGCCAGGAGGCGTATTCGTTAAATAGTTAGTCCGTTTCTCCCCGACGGCTCAGATAACCGGCTGCTGCTTAGTAAATAATAATTTGTGATAATTTATTACCAAAGTTCCTAATAAACCCATAAAACCCGCTCTGTTTACATATATAGAGTGTAAGCTCCCAGGAACAGGGCCCTATCCACATGGTGACCCTGTTTACCATCACTAGTTTTTTATTATCCCTCATTGTAGAACGCCATGGAATATTAATGAGAATACTAGACTAAAAATATTTTTCACTGAAACAAACACCTTAAAATATATATAATCAGAAATGATCTGTGCAGCACCTTATCGTATTTGTAAAAAGGCCTATAATTTGTATTGATTCTCCAGCAGTTTTTTTTTGTTTGTTTTTTTTCTATTCAATTTAATTCAATTTTTTTTTTGTTAGGTTCTAAGAACCGTTTCCTGCTCTGCCTCTGATCGGCCGCTGGAATCACATGATCTCTGGCTGCCATATGGTTTTTTTTTTGTGTGTGTGTGTTAGCAGTAACTATAAACTTGGTTTTATTAAAAAGAGGAAAGAGAAATTCTACCTCCGTACTGAAACATTCACAGGTCTTCCAATGGGTATTAACGTTACATGATAACATATTAACCCATCCACATTATTCTTTTAAAGTGATTTATGGAAAGACGTGTTGAGTGCCCCATTAATTATTGTCATGATTCTAGAAGGTTAACCTCTTTTATGCCAAGGGGTTTCTTCCTGGTGGCTGTTGGTGTCGGATTTTAATTTATCCAGTAATATTACTACAATATTCTACAATAAATTAAATATTCATGTTGTAGTATTTTTATGGAGAGAATTGTGTACTGAGAGGAGGTTAACCCATTGTATGCTGGTAGGATTGTTGTAAATGAAGCTGGGGCAATCTGCAGAATGCTTTGTGTTGCTGTGTGGTGCCCAGGGCGTGGGCACACTTGTGGGTTTTTTTGTGGCTTTTTATATCTGACTGTTGCTGAGCAGCTGTTTGCAAACTTCCTCCTGTTCCAGATCAGATCCGCTGTCACACTGTGCTACAAGTGAATCTTCTTATTCGATTGTGTTGTGGCAGTAATGCATAAAAGTGTGCAAAAGATACATTAAAACCTGCTGTTTCTGCACTGCTCCTGCAATGACTAGGGACGTGGCTGACCTGTTCTCTGTGGATATCCCCAAAACCCTATACCATGTCACTGTTTGATGAGCTATTGAGCATGTTCATGCCTACAGAGCTACATGGTGCTGGATGTCCTGTCCTGATACCATGAATGAAAGGTTTTTCCCCGCAGTGTGCGCAGTTTCCAGAGGTTCCTGTTTCTATAAGCGGTGATTTATAGAGCGGTAGGTATAGACTTTCCTGGTTCCATATTCCAGCTCTCAGCAAATAGAAGAGTGTGACTTACCATCCAGACAAGTAGGTATTGGTAGTGGAAAAACTATGAAGCTTGGTGGACACTCAGAAAAGTTCTCCCGTCTCCCTTTAATAAATAAGTCTGTTTCAAGAAGGAAATGCTGACCATTCATTCTCACTGTGTACTGTCGGGAGTCAGAGATTTAGCTCTCTTTCAATAAATCCACAAAGTCTTTATAATCCTACCTGGGTCTGTGGGGTCGTACTAGCTTGGTACGCTTACCTTGAATGTCAATCCGGTATTTCCCAACCTTTACGGATATTTTACCGTCACGGACTGTGATAATTCACTACTTCTTCTCTCCACTGCATCCACCTCGATTTATACCACGTCTACATTACTCTGAGATATACAGCTGACTGGGAAAACGTTTAAGCTGCTATCTCCCAGCGACTTATCACTTTATTATTGTTATTGTTATTATTGGTATTTTATAAAGCGCCAACTAATTCTGCAGCGCTTTGTCACTTCTCCAATACTTACTCCGGCTAGATTGTACGCCATTAATAGAATACCTACCTTACACCGTTATAAAGGGATACAGTCATGCCCTTACTGGGCCCTCTGCTCCCCTACCGCGATCTCATTAAAAAAGTGGGTATTGTACTTCTCTGCGGTCCGTCCAAGTTGCCAGTGTGTTTGAATCAAGTGATGTCTCGTCGTTCTGTTCCTATAGTCCCTAGCCAGTGCCAGCTAGGGTGTTACCAGAATTTGATATTTAAAAGCATTTCACTGTCCCTGAAACTGGATCTTGCGATTTGAAATCTTGTTTATTATATAACATTGGCTTAGACAATATTCTCCATAAAGTGTCCATGAATCCCCAGCCTACAGGCTTATTGCGTCCCCTGGGATTGCCCTGTGCCATTAGCCGCACCTCGCTCTGAATTCTGGGCACTGCCAACTCTTCCATTACTGCGATCTCTGGATTATCAATATTTCCATCGGAATAAAACCAGCCAATCCCTACA